GAATGGGGGAAGGAGATAAAAAGGAAGGGGAAAGGAAGAAAATATACATATACACAAGATAGTTAAAATAGTTATACTGCTAATTGCTATTAGTTCGTTGAAAAGAGAGGATTACGCTATATGGTTTGACCAATTTTTCATGCCCATGTCTTGTACTGTGAGCAACCTCTTTAAAGCTAACAGTACGCAATGTACTGGCCAATGCTACTCTCCTGCAGTCTTGGTTTGACATCTTACCATTGTTTTTATGGTTTACTTTTCTTTTCTTTAAAATAAAAAAGAAAAAGAAATAAAGTACGTAAAATTGAGGAGCAAGAAAACAAACTAGGATTCTTCATAGACTATTTGATTAACCACATAGGGATTACTAAAGCGTCTGTAGGAAATTACTCATATTTATAGTAAGTAGGCTTAGCAGATGGCTAGATATGGACATAAATTAAGAAACAAAAATAAAATGTAATACTCTACTATTACCCCAATCATTTAGAAATTACCATTTGTGAAGAACTACATTATGACTACAACAAAAAGATAAGCTACGTGGTAATAAACTGACTACAAATATGCAGAAACTATTCTGAGGAAAACAACACTTAGCAGAAAGGTATTAAAATGGATAAAGAAACTGAGATATGTTATGTTGATTCATAAAATGATTCAAAATTATAAAATGACAATTGTCCCTTGTCAATCCAATAAAACTGGGTTACAGAGTCAATGCCTTTCTATTCAAATGCCAACAGCCTTTTTTCTTGAGAAACTTTGTAAATTAATGCTAAAATTCATATGAAAAGTAAATGTGCAGGTGCTTGTTTTGGAGACAATTGTCCTATGAAGCAGAAAAACTTATCTTTTGTCCTAATTTCTTATATTAGTATCCAAGGAATAGCTTAGCAATGAAGAGAGTTAGTTATGAATGGGCAGAAATTTTGTTAAAAAGTGACATCCAGGATTGGGAATGTACTTTTGTGCTAGAAGTAGAGCACATGCTATTTGTGTGGAAAAGAGAGACTACATAATAAATGAGTAACGGAGAAAAAAATAATGCATATACTATCAAAATTAAACCCAGATGGAAATATACTTGACTGTGGAAATGATATCTTCCAACTTGTGGTCAAAGAAATAATATGGAAACTTTTTTTGACATTCAAAAGACTTCCTAAGCAAGACACAAAATACTAGATACATAAAAATTACACATTTTATTGTATTAAAAAAGTCTGTTCATAAAAAGATACCATGTAGAAAATATAAAGACTTTGTAGAGAACTAAAAAAGATGCATGTTGTACCTATATGTATCTTGAATAGAGATGTAATATGTACTATTACATCAGAGGGCCAATATCTATATCTCTACAAAGTAAAGATAGTTAATAGAAAGCTGGACAAAAATATATAAACAGGAATTTTACAGAAGAGGTAACACATAAAAACTTCCACAAACATGTAAAAATGGTCAAGCTCCTTAGAAGTTTGGGATATGCAAATGTAGATCACGATGGAAGATCATTTTATAACCATTATATTGGCAAAAATAAAGTCTGACAGTCAAGTGTTGGCAAAGATGTGAATCATGGGAATTTTTAGACATTACTGGCAAATGATTACAGCCCTCCTGAAAAAAGAAAAGCATTAGTTTTTCAGATGAATATATGTAAAACTTGTGACCAAGAAATCCCGCTTGTAAATATATGCCTTAGATAAAATCTCTCATGTGTGGACATATAGGAATACTCATAGCACCAGTATAAAACCAAAGAACTCATCCTAAGTGATTGTCCATGAAGGTAAGAAAAGGGATGTAAGTGGTGATGTAGACAAATTTATGGTAATGAGAAAAAGCAAAGCTCAGCAATATCATACTTAGAAATACACTGGCAGGAGAAAATAGAGCAAAGGAATGTTGAACAAAATTCAGAATTGTGGTTAGTGCTGAAGATAAGATAAGGAGCGAGAATGCTAAAAGTTCAGGACTGTAGTTATCTCGGGGGACAGGACAGAAGGATGAGGTTGGAAAGAGCGTGTCAGTGTGCTAGCTCATAGGAACACAGTGGGGGTCTCCCGGGACACGTTTCGTTATGCTTTGTAACTCACACATGTTACTTACAGTATTTTACATGTGTCACACTTGATAGGATGCAATACCAAGCTTTTTCTCTTACGTTCAGTTTTGAATCCATTGATTTGTAGTTATCACTCGTCAGTCTTCCTAATGCTTCTAACAAAGGGAGCTTATCAGTGACAATGCCTGTAAGGAATCTGTGAATGCAGTAATGATGCACTGATGCAAAACAGAAGCTACCAGAATTCCAGCTTGGTGGGCAGGTCTACCTATGTAGACGTCCATAACAAACAGGCATCCTGTCATATTTACAGTGAAGTTACCACTCATTTCTCTGATGCTTTCCTGCTTGAATAGCACAGGATTAGGAAGTCAGGGTCTCCCGTGGATCTTTTTCCCAACTCGCCTGTGGGGCGGGAGTAGGGCAGAGACCATGGCACCTCTGCGGGGAGCTGGGAGCTTGAGCTGGATGAGAAGGAGGCTGGGCCCTGGCTTCAGGCCATCTATTTCGACTGCCAGTGAGAGATGAGCTTGGCAATGTATGCAAGGGGGCGGTGACCCCTGCTCCCAAGGGATTTTGTCTGAGCCGGAAGAGCTGACCAGAGGTTCAGGCTGAAACTTAACGTAGGGGGCAATGTAGACAGCAGCGAAGAGGTCAGCATGCGCAGCCGGCACGCTTCCAAAACCACCGCAGGCAAGGGAGGGAGTCCTTTTAGCTGAGATCACAAAAATGTGTCCCCTCATTTGCCCAGGTGAAAATTCCACCTCAGAGCAAGAAAAGGGAAAGGTATGAAAGAAACCGAGAGATTTTATGCAAGGAAGACAAACACAACCAAATGGGCCATCTGGCTCCTCACATCAGATTAAACTTCTAATCTTAGAGGAGTAAAAGTCAGTTTTTACCTTTAATGATCAGCTGATGAAGGGTAGGGCAAAGATAAGATTGGCTACAAAGGAAATAAGTTCACTGTCTTTTTATATTCAAAATAGACAGCTGTACAGCTAGCTTCTCTCAGTTCCTTGAGAAGAATGTTGTGTGCTAATAGGTAAGGTGTCATGCCTATATCTTGTACTCTGAGTAAGTACTATGAAGACAATAATATGCAATGCATCAGCTATTGTAAACATCCTACTATCCAGCTTCATTATTTACTTTTTTTCTCTTTAAAGTTAAAAAACATCAATGAAACATAAAAAAATCGAGTGTGAGTGAAGCCTGTGATCCCCGGAGACTGGTGTTATAGCAGCCCAATCTGCCACAACTAAATTTTGGAAAGAACCCAAAGGCCTTTCAGCTGAGGAATGGATGAAAAAGATGTGGTATTTTTATACAATGGAGTATTACTCAGCTATAAAAAAGATAAACTTGAGGCTTTTATAGGTAAATGGATGTAACTAGAGACCATACTAATGAGTGAAATAAATTGAACCTGCATGTGTAAACATCATACGGTCTCCCTAGTATAACAACCTGAAAGAGTAAGTAAAACCCAAAATGTACAATAGATATTATGAAAGGGAAAGAAATTGCTCAAAGAAAGGAACAACTTGGATGAGGGAAAGGAGAAAAAGAAAGAAGGGAATATATATATATATATATATGTACATATATGTATAGCTGGGATAACTGTACTGCTGATGTGTAAGGGTTTATTGAAAGGAACAGTTAATGCTTAATTTTTTTGACCAATTTTGCATGCTTACACTGGAAATCTGAACAACTAACTTGAAGACAACATTGTGCAATATAACAACCATTCATGAACTCCTACCATCTTGTCTAGTGAAACTCTGTATTATTTCTAATTTTTTTGTTTTTATTTTTTATTCTCTTTAGTGGTTTGATCAGTCTTGCATTCTTACATCTGACAATCTGAGCAACTTTGCAGAAGATAACAATGTGTAATATAACAACCACTGATAATTCCTATCATTTTGTTCTGAAACCCTGTGTCATTTTTTTTGTTTTTGCTTAGTTTTGTTTTTGTGTATGTTGTTGGTATTTTGCTGTTCTTTTATCATATTTATTCTCTTTAAAATAAAAAAAGAATTGCTTCTCTGCCAGGTTGTATACATGCATTATTTATATCACTCAAGCCTACAAGGCAATATAACTTTCATTCTATAAATCAGGAAAATGAGAGTCAGAGAAGTCAAACACCATGCACAAAATCACACAGCAAGCAACAGAGCTGGAAGAGAAAAACTGATTAACCCTTAAATGTTTTAACTTAAATGCACTTAAAGTATACTTTTGATGAATTCAATTTTTGAGGTTTCAAGACATCCAAGGGGGAGACTTCTAGGACTTATACATTGTCTATAGGCACTTGAGATTTGGTCTTTTGGCATATTTGAGCAAAAACTGAACTGCAAAAGAACAGGTAGAATTCCACTCTTGCTGGAGATGAGGCAGTGACATGTTTTCATTAGAAAGACACTGTCACAGTGGTTGGAAATACAGTGTCATTGGTGACACATTTCTCACACTACCAGGAAGCCTCCCAGAAAGAATTCTTCAAGCCATAGATTTCTGGAGTCAGTCAAGTCTGTAATTCTGTTCTAGCACATAGCAGCTATCTATGTCAGTAGCCACTTCAAGTTCTCTTCTATAAAGCTAAAACCTATCAAGTCAGGATTAAATGAGATACATATGGACCACATTTAACATGGTACCTGACATAAAGTTGTGGTTCAAAACTGACAATAGGCATCTGCTGCCACCCCAACACTTGTTAAATGAAACCTAACATCCAGTTCTCTACGGTTCATTGTCTCCTCAATTCCTTTAGCTCCCAGGTTTAATTGTTTTATATTTAGCAAATGCAAATGTGCACTTGATGATTTAATACCCGGAGTTCAAAAAAACAGAGCAAAAGAAATAATCTTCTGGAGCGTACTTAGCAAGCTTAGAAAACGCATGTGCTTACCAGCTCACTGAATTCATTATTGCCTAGGTCAAGTCTTTCCAACTGGGCCAGTTTGTGCATTGACCTACAACAGATGGAGAAAAATACTCTTGTGAGGCAGGGCGAGGCACATTACTCTGAAAGACATTCCACTAACCGCTCTGTCAGATTTACCTGATTGCACAAGGCGCAGATTCGGCATGTTCTTCAGCGAGACATAAATTTGCAAATGTACTGAATGCAGACTGCAAACCTTTAGCAGCTTACCATGATCCATAGGATACTAAATCCTGGTATGTGGATGGAGCACAAGGCTGGCTGCCTAACAACAACCTGGGAATCTTGTTAAACATGTCCACTGGTAGGAGGTGTGTGGTTGGGAAAGATTTTTAAGAATCACCACAGTTTTGGAAACCAATGGATGAACTCAGTTCTTAACCAAGCATTCTAAAACTCAACAGCCTGGCACAATTTCACCATCAGGTCCAGCATTTTCTACTTCCCCAGATGAACTTCTATTATAGACAAGTCGTATTTTTTGTTTCCCAAGCCTATTGGCTTCATGCTGTAAGAACTGTGAATGAATAATTGGAAGATTCCAAGCAAGAGTTTGTATCAAAGGTTAGAGGGACTCTCGAACACTGCTCATGGCGTCAGCATTTCTCAAAGCACGGTTACACAAATATACAACATAATAAAAGATAGTGTTTCCTGAACGATTTTTATCTCCCCACCCCCCAGAATGCTGTCATTAAGTCTTAAGCATACAGAAAATCTTGAAGCATCACAGATTCAAATCTTAGAAAGTTTAGTTTCTTCACCTTTAAAATCAATATAGAAATTGCAGCAGTTTTTTTGTGTTTGTTTGTTTTGTTAAGACAGGGTTTTGCTATGCAATTCAGGTTGGCACTGAATTTACTATGCAGCCCAGGCTGGCTTGAACTCATGGCAATCCTCCTGCCTCAGCCTTCTGAGTACTGGGGCATGCCACCATATGTAGTGAGAAATTATAGCATTTTTATGAGCATTTTTATGAGCATGAAATAAAGTATTACTGAAATCCTGACACTTTCAGACTCTCAGAAATAAAAAATAACAATGTGTATACTCTTTCTTCATTCAGCATCTATCACTGTGAGATTATGTGCTTATTTAGGGAACAGCAGTGAAACAACACATACAAATTTCTGCCCCACAGGACTTTACATCCAGTGGGAGAAGGCTATCCATAAACAAAATACTTAAGTAAAATAAAATAATGTACTAGAAGGTTGTGAGTGCTATAGGGAAAGCTTATGCAGTGGAACTGGATAGGGAGAGCTCATGTAGGAATTTTATTTTTAACAGGATGATCAGGGGAAGCCTTAAACAGAGGACGGAGTTTGAGCCAAGGCTTGAAGGAAAGAGCACGCTGAGGGGAAGAACGAAGAGCATGGACGCACTGCTTTCTTGCCTCCTGGGTGTCCTAGGAGGCCAAGGCTGCTGAAGAGGAGAGCGGGAAGGGAGAGCAGGAAGGGAGACTGTGGGGTGATGGATAACAGAGGAGGTAACCGCTCAGCGGGAGACTTAGGCTGTGATTCTGGGTAAGAGAGAGTCACTCAAAGGCTGATGAAAAATGTGAACACACTGACTCATTTTACAAGATGTCTGTGAGTGCAGGGTTGTAATGAGCCTTGGGGTGGGGCCAACATAAAAATAAGGAGACCAGGCCAGTGGAGAGGATGCCTCTTTGCTATTAACCCTTCCTCTCTTTCCCACAACACGCCATGCTGCCAAACTGAGCTTTCTAAAATACAAGCCTGATATCTTCCCTGCCTCAATATTAAAAGTTTCCTTCCATTGCTTCTTGACATGGACTGTCCTCACTTATCCACAAGATTTTAAGATTTTAAACAATTGATAACACAGCCTATGGCTTTTCCTATTCAAGTGCTACTTGCTAAACGCTACCAGTCAAATTCTTCCTCCAGATTTTCCTTTTAGATGAAATACATTTTTCATTTTATGAGATTACAAACAAGTAAAATAAAATAGAATGCAGGGTATTTTTAACCTTATAATTATTCTTTGTGAACATTTGTTTTCTTAAAGAGTGTGTGTTTCTTTCTGGCAGGCCATGTCATGTGCACCTGAGTTCCAAAGATCTCTGGAATGTAAGGTTTCTCAACCTCAGGGGCACGGACATTTTAAGCTGGCTAATTCTTTGTTATAGGTGGCTATTGTGTACATTATAGGGTGTTTAGCATATCCTACACTGAATCTACTCTGAGGGGCTTATTTCCTAAATGAGAATGACATTTAAGTGAATAATGACTTCCAGAGTAATTAAGTACTAAGGTAAGAGTACGCATAGATTGCTATAGGATGTCAGAAGGAGAAAAAAATATCAATTGAGTAATTAGGGAAAGTTTCAAGAAGAAGTGACATTTGCACTAGATTCTGAATGAGCCTGCTCTATATGATTCATGTATATTTGCACATTTGACAGGAAATAATGAATGTACATCTAAAGTTGAAATATAATCAACTTTTCTGAGATGGTAGCCTAAGATAATAACACACGAAACATAGACCTGCCTTCTCAAAGGAGGTGCAATTTTGTTCCAAAGTGAAGAACTTATAAAACCTTCCCTTAGACGTTACTGCAGGAGGCTCTAGTCCTACTTCTTGGCTGGTGTGCGTTAGGGCTTGGTCAAGAGTTTGGGTCACATTCTGCACCAATAATGCTGGGAATTTGATCTTCATCTGTCTGAACCATTTATTTTGCTGGTGACTCACATTAATTTACATGCTAATTTAGTTATCTTAAGGGGCACTCACTCCGCGGATGGCCTTGCTTTGTTGTCTCTTAGCACTGACCACTGGAAAGAACTTTCACTTTGTAAATTACTTTCTCCTTGTCTTCATTCCTGTACTCTATTTAGGCTCCATGAGGCAGGTAACTTGCCAGTTTTTTCCCTACTATGCAAACAGCTTTTCTATCATGTCTGCTAAATTAAGACATGAATGCAGGCCTGAAGGAGTGATCCTTTACCGGGGAGAAGTTTGAATTCCAGACTATTTACAAAGATGAACTACTCGATTTATATCAGGCATCTATAATTAATTAACAGTTGCCAAGGAAGTAGCGACAATTAATTAAGTTACCAGGGAGCTATTCTGATCGGGCTGTAATGAATACTCTACAGTAATGAATATACAGCAGCTCACTTATTGTGGATAAAGGCAGGTAGGGCCGAAGTTCAATAGTCCACAGACAGTCACATCTTTGTTAGCTTCCTGACACATGCAATAATAAGCTTAAAAAATTTAACAGAACAGGAAAATATTGAGCAGCATGTCTAGGTAAGCTTTCACCTCTGGTTATCTAGCGTACGGTAAAACAACGCTATGTGTTTTGTGGTTAAGACCACGGACTCTGGATTCAGATTAGCAGGGTCTAAATCCTGACTCCACAATTTGGTAGCAATTTGACTGTGAAGAAGCCATACAGTATCTTTGTACATCAGTTTTCTTAGCTATAATATTGAGATGACAATAAAAATCCCTAGATTGTAGAGTTATTGCAATGATTAAAATAGTTGATATAGGTAAACACATAGTAGGTGCTCTATGAGGGTTAGCTATTAAAGTACATAGAGGATGCTTTCAAAGTTCAGTTAGTACATTGAGTCAGTGTTTCCTAAAGTTTTTCCAAGAATTGATAGGTGTTGCATGATTTCACATGGCCAGCACATTTTGGCAAAGCTCGTTGAGAAAATAGTGTTAGGTTTTTTTTTTCCTGGCAGCTCTTCTCAGAGAAAATGGACAAATGTTTATTGTGATTCCCTAACAGATGGAAATAGTTTAGGCTAGTTCCTGTTTATGTGACTAAGAAACATTTTCCTTCTTCCCTGCAAGGCATTTCTTAGAGCAAGAGCACACTTTGCTTGAAGTTTTTATAATTCTTTTGGAACATGATGAAGCTGAATTCTTGTCCATTTCCATCCATGGAATCATGCACATATGAGGTTGACCAAATGATACAGTAAGTGTTTACATTAAAATGATTATAGGAAAAGTCAGATTGCCATTAATCCCCCCTCAAAATACTCTCTCTCACTTCAAACATACATCCCAAAGTTATTTTTTTATAAATTTATTTATGTATTCAATTAAGTTTTCAATTTTTATTTTTCATTAGTAAATGCTTGCAGTACATAATGATTACGTTGTTTATGGGGAGTCAGCACATGTACACAGCATGTTCCCTTCCTCCTCTTCCCCTGTCCCCCCATTTCTTGGTTCCCCTTCCCATGCAAAAGATCTATCTCCTGATTTCTTATTATCTATCTTTTATCCTGTGGGTCTTCCCATGTCCCAAGCAGTTTTGGAAGTCCTCTTTCATGAGGACTTGCACTGTCTTGGAGACAATGATGTCCTGAATTGATTCAAAACATTTTCCTGTCACGGTCATTTTGACTTTTGGGGATGAGCTAAAAATCACACTGTGCCAGATACAGTGAAGAAAGTGGGTCAGGACACAGTATCATATTTATATGAACCTGCCTTTCTGGGTGGCATTCACTGAATCTTTGATCACAACTTGTGAAGACACTCATGAAACAGACGTTCCAGAACTGCTACAGGAAGTGGCCAGAGCTGTGGGATAAGTGTATCTGAAGCGAGGGGGAGGACTCTGAGGGTGATTGATGGCAATGCGTCTTGTCCTGTAATAAATATTAACATGTAAACATTCACCTTGTATTTCATCATGCCGTGTACATACTCCATAAGAGCACATGCCAAGATGCACTTGTATATGCTATTCTGTATATTTACATTTGCCTAGAAATTCTGCACATCTGTTCAGCTCTGCACCTCGGCTCCCAACGGTCACATCAGCTCTGAGCATTTGTGACTGTTCTGGGCACAGGCCCCTGAAAGACCACGCGATCTTACATTTGACTTCATGCACAGCACCTCAGTCCCTTATGATTAGAGGAGAACGGCTGACTTGCTCACCATCACAGATAATTAGCCCCAGGGCTAGCCCAATGCTTTCTTCCTTTTTAGCGGCACTAGCTGCACATTTGACTCTAGCCT